CCGGCCATTCAAGTTCCTCAAGTAGATCAATTCAATTGAATTGAACTATTTCTTAAGTCAATTTGGCCTGTATTAGTTCAATTTAAGCCAAAAGGGGGATCAGATTGACTTGACTTGGCTTCTTCGGGACCCTGCTCGCAACACCGGCCAGTATCAATAGGTCAAAGTCTTCCACCCCTATCTCGTTCCTCCCTTCTTGAACCATATAGAGAGTCTCTCAAGAGGTGATAATAATCCCTGATCGCCCATATTCTACTAGCACCAGACGCAAGCCAATGCCGCCGAAGTCTAATGTACTATTGCATCTTTTCCTGCTAACAATGATGTTGGTTTTGAGAATGCCAACGCGCCTTTTGACCTGGTGTCTTTCTAGTCTTGGTACCAACTCGATGGTATCTTCAATTGTAGGACGTCTAGCGTTATTGAAACTCGTTGCGGAGAACGAGAAATGAATATCCTACAAAAATGGTGCTGCTGGCTCGGATGCTGACAGCCACAGCCAAGCCTCGCAACTTGTTCATCTCCACCTACCTGAAGAAACATCTCGAAGTGGCAGATTAGGACAAAATACGAGCATTGTTTCGCTGCTGTTGTCCAACCCTCCGCCGCACGGGATGACCGAGATGACGAAGACAAATTGGCGGATATCCTGCTCCTTCTCCTCCCCCGTCCCGCTTCTCCGCATCCTCTTATCAGCACCGAGTGAGAAGAGACAGCACATACAGATACTCTATAGCAGGAATGGATCTAAGAGATCCAGCATTATAATACAAAACTCGCGATTTGGGAGACTATCAAGAGGTCAGACAGAGATGGCTTGGAGTAGATGCTAGAAGGGGGTGAACCCTTAATCTCATATAAGAGGCTCGGTGGACAAAAGGGATATCTATCCCTTATTAGTACTTCCCTAGGACAGATAGTGACTAGGATGATCCTCGACCATAACAACAAAATCGGCCGGAGGACTATCGAGGAGGTTGTTATTCTGTGGCCGGGTTACAACACCCGTGACATCTGACAGCCCATGAATCTGCCAGATAATCGCTTTGACAACAGGAAAAGTGCGAAAAAGGTAGTACTGCTGCTGCTTCTGCTTGCCGACCGCATATATGTCGGTGCCCTCCAACAACCGATCCTGGCTATTTTCAGAGTCTGTGAATATTAGGATCTTGTACTGCCCGTTGCCTCCGCCGTAGCCTCCGCCGCTCTGCTGCTGGATCTGTGGGAAAGTTTTTGCACTCGCAGAATTGGACCAGCGCCGGTTGAGAGAGTACGACGAGGAGGGGCTGCCGAGCGACCACGGGGAAGGGTCTGCGCTCCCGCCGAGGGTAGTAGGAGGGGTGGCTGGAGCAGCTGGGGCCTTGTGCCTGTAGAAGTCGTTGCTCGTGGTGACAGGCTGGTGTACACCGGCGGCGGCTCCGAGGGGTGCCGTCTGGTATGGGCTGCCACCCAGTGAAGCTCGAGCTGCAGTGGACCGGCAATCCTGCAGAATTGTCGGCGAGTGCTCGCGAGGCACGCGCAAATTGCAATCTCTTGGATGACATATCTTTTCGTCCGGTTGCCTGGCCTGTTTCGATTCCTTGTCAAACAGGCCCTCGATCTCAGCTGATCCAGTATACCAAGAAAATCGGAATAGATCTTGACAATGGCAGGCCGAGCGTCAAAAGTCCGTATGTGGTTCCCGGGGTTGATATCATGAATCACCAGCAAGCACGGCGTCAGACTGTGTCGGCCCCTGAGTCTAGGGTGGCTTTGCCTTGGGAGCTTTTGTCGATGGTGGTTTCATGCCTTTGTGGATGTCGTTGTCACTGTCGATTTCATCGTCGTTACCTTTCGCCAGTCGCTGGTAGGTAAGATATTCGTCGCCCTCGTAGACCGCATCATGCCTCCACCGTTGCTTGAGGCAGGAATATGCGGCAGTAGCTGGATATCAGAATGCGAGTCGGTCTGAGTAAAGACCGTTTGTTCTAGATAGAGATAGAACGAAGGACCACAGAGCAAGAAGAGTGTAGGAACCGTTCTCATGTGGGGAGGGTGTGACGAGATAGAATTAGAAAGTGAGAATAGAAGACATCTCAGAACTGGTACAAGATATAAGTGCCAGACTATATACTACAGAACCCGATTATACACCACATGCTGCCAGTTGTCCTTTCCATCTCATTCCTCCATTTACCCCCCTTTAACCTTCAACATCAAGGTTTAGTACAGCATCATCCTAATAGAGTCCAACGCACTATTCACTCGCTCATGCCTGTATACCTGCTCCTGCGTGTATATCTGCTCATGCCAGTATACCTGCTCCTGCGTGTATATCTGCTCATGCCAGTATACCTGCTCCTGTCCGTATACCTGTGCCTGGCTGTATATCTGCTGCTGCGTGTATACCTGCTCCTGCCCGTATGTCTGCTCATGCCTTTGTTCCTGCTCAATCCTTCTCTGACGTCTTCGAGTCTTCTTTGCCTGGCGGCGCTGAACCTCGTCAGGACGGGTGGGTTGGGCCGCCGTCTGGAGCCACGGAAAGCCACTCGGGAAGAAGGCTTTCAAGACGATGTTGGTTTCCCACCGGAGCCGGAATTCGCCCATGACCCGCTGGTCAATCTGATAGCCTTGGCTCCAGTAGTTCTTTGGTTGGTTCTTCCATCGTCCCGCCAGTCGGTCCGCCAATATCGCACCGGGAGTCGATTTTCGGGGCAGCCAGTGGATTTCCACCTCGCAACTGGCTTTGCGCAGTTTGTGAGACCGCGAGACGCATGACCGCACGACTGGAAGCGTATGGGCGTAGTAAAACGCCGAGGATTCTTTCTTGCTCTTGATGGAATTGATACCCTCCTCAAGCCGGTCCAAGCTCTCCTGCGAGTCCGTGAAGATCATCCCCCTGAAAGTCTGGTCGTCAGACCGGCGGTAGGTCTCAACCAGTTTTTCCAACTGCTCCAGGCAGAGATCAATGCCGATCAGCTCCCCATGGCCAATCGAAAGCATCTCCTTGACATAAGCCACCTTTTGTTGATAGAGGCCTTTAATACCAGTATCCATTTGCTTCAAGTCGTTTCCACGCGCGAAGGGTTGTCTCCAGACGACCCCGACTCCACCCCGGTGAGGCTAGCACTGGGGATTGAGGCGGGCGTCCATCGATGCGTCGCAAAAGAAAACAAACTGGAGCTCGGAGTCGCAAACATCGGGCAAAGCAAAAGCGCCGTTGGCATTGTAGATTGCCGTAGCATTGTCTCCCTTTTTTATGTGAATAATGTTACCCCGACTTTCTTTCGTCCAGTCGTCATACCCAGTTTGATGAGTCGGGCCGACAAGGGTTGAAGATTCGTCGGAAATATTTGCGGTTGCGAGAGGACGGGGGGATGAAAGAGATGGGGTGTTGTCGCGGACAGAGGGCGAATTGTGACGGACAGGCTCGGAATATTTGCTTGGACCAGCATCCTGATCTTCATCGTCGTGGGCTGGAGTTGGCCAGGGGTTTGTTGTGGCTGAGACGGGAGTCGTCTGGGCGGCGACAGATGGCAAAACTTTGAAGTCGAACAGATCCAGGGTCCCAGCATTCTGATCCTCTGGGATTGATTGGGGGTTTGTTGCGATGGGCACCGGAATCGTCTCGGCGGCGACAGAGGGCAAAGCTTTCAAGTCGGACAACAGATCCAGGGATTTGGAGATCGCCGACTTCGTTTCGCGCTTCGGAATGCGAGAGGGGGATCCCGCGCGTGGGTGACCAAAGATCCTGGCGCGAGAGTACTGAGCTTTGGCCTTTTCCCAGGACTCACGAATGGGGTCCTCTAATGCCGGGAAGGGGTTTGGACAACAAGTACTCGGCCGTGCGCGGGGTGACTGGCTCTGATCAAGGTCCTGTTTGAGTTAGTCGTTGAAGGCGGGACTGAGGAATCATTATCCTCGTTAGGTAGGAATGAAAAAGATGCACCCCTAACTTACATCTGGACGATCACGCGAGAGCGGGGATGGCACTTCGGCTTGCGCGAGAGCGCTTTGATCGGTCTCCATCTTCTTGGGCAGACAGAAAGACAGAGATGGTGAGAAGAGAGACAGGAGTCAGCCGCGTAAGAGAATAATTGTTGTGAAAGTTAACAGAAGGCGTTGGCGAAATGAGAGTGTTCCGCGATCGTGATTTTGATTGCAAAGGTGCGTCGCTGCTGCTTCCAAGAATGGCCTGAGGAAAATTGAAAGGTTGCAGGATGAGTGGCCGACCCGTTGCCGTGGACGAAGATGTAAACAGTGCACGGCTCCGTGCTCACTAGCGGGGTGGGTCTGATCCGGCCCCACCTTTTGCCGTGTGCCTGGACGGCGAGGTCCGGGTCTCCACCCGCCAAGCCTGAGGCTCGAGCAGGGGACCACTCCGTCCGTCCCCGAGCATTGAAATTCCAGATTTAATGACATCACTAACATTTCAGGAAAGAGGCCCTCACAGGCTTGCTGCTGGCGGTGACTGGATCCAGATCCAGAAAGAAAGGGGTTGCGTTTGATTCATTCTAGCAAGCCCCTTTAAGCCATCTTAAGACATTGCGCGGCTGGATCACAGAGTGCAATGGTTTTTGAAAACTGTTGCACCCCTATTTATTCGTGCCGCGAGCACAGTTGAAATAGGACTAATTACATCGCGATGTATGTGAGGATGAAATAAAACCAAAAAAAAAAGTCCAAGACTGCCTCCTTTACGTTACAGCGTATTTTCCATGTTAACTACGTGTGCGGCTAACTAGTTTTCAAAACAGCAAAAGCCACGCATTTGTCTAAATACCGAGGAACATCTTTATTATGGAAATGTAATTTCTCTTTTAACCTCTGGTTCCAGTAGTTATCTGACATTCCTAGAGTGCGTTCAATGAAGTAAGAGATAAAAAGCCCGTACCGTTGTTTGTTTACCGTAAAGGGAAACAGATAGTACTATAATGAGGGGCAGGGTAGGTCTGTGCAGGCACTTCTTTATAAGTTAGTTTTCCTAGCACAATGCTAACGAAATTTAGAGGTGTCAAATTGGCTCGGTGGCGTAGTTGGCCAACGCGTACGATGTGGGAAATGGACTACTTACCCTGGTCGAAGCTGAGTTCAACTCTCGGCTAGTGCCGTTGAGAAAGCCTCAACAAAGCAGACTTCTGGGGTTTGTGGGACAAGTACCTAAATATGAAGCAAGTGCTTGCCAACATTCCCCCTCCCCCTATTACTAACTAAATCTAGCATTATTTACTAACTAACTCTAGCATTGGTTGGTCGTAAGACACGGGTTCGAGTCCCCGTCCGAGTTAGATGCTTCTAGATTTCCTTTCTTTTTTTCCCTTTTGCTCTGGCTTCATGTCTCCAGACCAGAATTCGAGTCCCAGTTTAGTCATACAAGGCTCTTATCTCCCTAATTTTCTTTTTTCACCGCTCATCGCCGAACGGACGTTACAGGTTCCTCTTTGACTCAATCCGGCCCCCAGGAGCCAAACACCTACGAGTTCAATGGCCTGCCGCACGCATCCACAGCTCCATCATCCAGCGTGGCATTGACTTGGAATGATGCCGCACCACCGCGACCATTGGCGCTGATGACCTTGAAGGTCGGAGTCGCAGTTCCAGCCACCCAGTAGTCTCGATTACCAACGGTGACCCGTTGCTTCAATGTCGCTTCTGGAATGTCGTTTGTAGGTTAATACTGTCCACATTCTTTTGCACATCGGAAAACATGCGCAAGGCTGGAGAGACTCACTCATTCCGGTCCCGCAGTTGGCGGCGACGGTGATGCTGAAATCGCGAGTATTTCTCAGGCTGGTGATGTTCCCACCATCAGGATTGAAAGACCATTCATCATAGATTGTCTTGGCTGGGTTGCCAGAGTATCGGGCCCAGGTGAACTGGGCTTCATGGCCTTGCGCGCCTCTGGCAATCGTTATGTTGACGTCCCAGTATCCCAGATCCGGCGGCGTGGTCAGGTGCGCGGCAACGGATGGTTGAATCAAGCTGCCCACTCCGGCAACAATAAAGGCAAGAGACGCATAAAGATACATGATTGCACAAAGAAGCAGTTTTCGGTATTCAAAGCGTGGAGAGATGGGCGATGAGAACAAATGCCAGACGCATTTACCGACTACTAAATACTCAAAATGATTCTTTTCACCACGTTGCAGAATTTCATCTGCTGGTAATTGAGTAAAGGGGTAGGTTGCAGTCACGATGGTTTTCGTCACGGAGCGCTCCGTTTGTGACGTTACGGCCCACGTCAATTGCATGCCATTTGCAGGTACCTGTGGGTTTAATGAGTCCGCCGCGGCTAAATGTCTAGGCGACAGGCGACTCCGATATAAGCTGCAGCACGTATGGCAGCTTGGTAATTGAGATTTTCTGGAAATTGGTGGGTCTTGCGTCCTTACCCTATTGAAACGCGACGGTATGAGTGTATAAAGGGGAATCGATGTATCAAGACCAAACTGAGCTACGCTAACGTCCTGGCTCAGGTAAAGGGCCGAAACCTGACTGTCTGTTTCTTCAAGATGCTTCCCGCTTTCCCGATATTGCTCTCTGTTTTTAGCTCGCTATGGGGCGTCAGCTCTGCCTCGCCTGTCCCGGAAACAACATTGAACGGTAATGTCGTGGCTCCAGCTGCAACACCACCACCATGGAAGGACGAGGTCATCGCTCATGTCCCTATTCCCAACATTCTGGATCGAGCAGTTTCTAAACCCCCCAGCACGGTTGCTGTTCAACCGACAATATCACAGTGTTTATCACCCAGTATCTAACCGGGTATACGCCACGGCCTTTTATCACTGGTGGCACTGTAACAGACTCTCCGCATACGAGCTACACAATGCTGTCCACAGCAACAAGCACTCTGAACAAAAATCCACGAGTCATGGAATTCTAGTTGACCAGCTTTCCCACGAGCATCACCAAGACATATACCTCTACATGGATTGTAACCATCCAGGGGGTCCACACGACAAATGTCGTGGTCGAAACAATCACCCAGTAATGGTCTGCTCAGCCGACATCTTTCCCTTACACACTGCCTCAGACAGCCATTGCCAGGACCTGGCGGGCGGATAAGTCAATCTCCTTCGGACTGAGAACCTTCAGGCCGACATTCATCGTAGGATCCATCCCGGCATCTCTAGCCGCAAGATCCGAACAAACCAGTTCGGATAAAACACAGAACAACAATCACAACTTAAAAGCCCCCTTGGGAAAACGGTACAACAGCATGTACCCCCTAGCCTTTGCATTCACAACCCTACCCACCAATTTCCCAACAGCAATGACAACCTCATCAACAACGGACATAACAACCTCCTACACCTTTATCCAAATCAATGCCTTTGCCGGCGCAGTTAATTACTCGGTCGACATGACAGCCCACCTAACAGAAACATGGTACGAAGTCCACCAGTCAGCGCCAACCACTTTCCCATACAGCGTGACGGGCTCGATAGTGGGGACCACGCTCTCAAGAAGCACAGCCTACCAATTTATTTGGACCCAGCCGCAGCCTTATCCATGTAATCCTCCTACAGCCGGGACGTGGTGTCCTACCATGTTACCTGCTACACCGGGGACACCAACCAAGGTAGATGCTTATACGAGTCGCGAAACAAATACGTGGACTTGGACAAAGGTTTATCATTTTGATTTTACGGAGGACAAGGTTTTTCCAAGGACGGTGACGAGGGTTTATACCTATACCAGCTGGATAGAAGAGGTGTCCGAGTCGTCGATTTGGGATTTTGGAGGCGGGCCGAGACATGTCACGGCCTCGGAAACTTGAACTCACACTCCGAGTCCGACAGAGACTTTGTCAGCCGGAACCCCAACCGCAACACCGAGAAGACTTCCACCGCTACTGACTCTCCCAACAGGGGATCTAACTACCATCACAGAACCGAAATCGGTAAATTACAAGGTCACTTACGTCAACACATCAACTATAATCAAAACATGGGCCGACGAGGTTCCAAACAACGATAATGCATACGGGTAATGTGATGCATTTATCAGTGTTGGTTGCAATTTAATGTAAAGACGTCTGAAGTGGTGAAGTCACGGACCCAGATCACGTTGCACGAGGCCTACTGCTGCGGCAGGCTGTTATGCGTTGTGATCAGGTCTGTTCTTCTTCCTTTTTCTATCTCGGTTCTCTGGCCTCGCCAGAGAGCCTCTTATAGTTGTGAATGGTGGCAAGCCATTACGCGTCAGTTTACGCGGCTGTGGCAACTTACTACAAATACATGGTTCTGGCCACTGCCAGAACCTTCACTTACAGCGTTTGATCCAACAATCAGCCATGACGTTTTCACCGGGGGGATTATCTGTCACCGCGGTCCATGTTGAGATTATATTTCCTACGATGGTGGCGGGGAGTATCAACGAGGGATTGGAAAGGAATGGGTGTTTAGGTTTGAGTTGGGAGATTTTGCCCTTTCTGTGATTTAGCTGTTTGTCTTATGAGTTGAGTTACGAGGTAGGTCGGTTTTCTTTGTTTGGGTTTGGGTATGGGTGACTTGTTGCCTCGGCTATGGGTGTTGGTTTTGGTTGGGATTATTCGAGAAGACGGGGAGGGTGGTTTGGTTAGATTTGAAATTTAGCTCGGGTGAGCTGTTAGTCAATTTCTTTCTTGGATGGTAAGGTATTCATGGTAATCATGCTGGTTCCTAGGCTACTTCGTTCTGGGTGTATTTAAACGTCATGTGGACTGGGTATGTAAGTCATTGTGGGGTCCTCAGCCTGGCCTTGTCAACCCTCGGGCACAAAGAATTTCCACAATCGCCACGTTCATTGTTGCAATTAACCTGAAACAAACAATAAACTCAATCATCAGGGATGCTTATCGTTACATGTTGCTCGATTATTCAACTAAACCCCGCCAAGTAAGACCGGGCTGAAAGCTACCAAGAGAGGCGGCGAGGCGCTGATGCTGCACCGGACAGAGGAATACGAAACTCCGTTAGTCCACACGATGTCATATATCCAGCTAGGCTGCTTCCCCCACATGCAAATAGAAAAGTACCTAAAGCGCAATGAAAAACCGGAAATAATCTGACAAAACCTGAGAGGCCCAACTAGAACTTTGCATTGTTGCGTCGGCGCCAGTCAACCTTGGACTTTCTGCGGTCATCACTCGTCTTCTTCTGGTTAGTCCTATCCTTGTTAGCCCGACGCTTTGAGGAGCGAGAAGCCGGCCAAGGATTTTGATTTCCTTGAACAGTTTCCTGGGCCCAATACGCTTGAAAAGCCTCGGCTGCCTCGAAAACCTCTGGTCTCAGTCTATCCGCGATGAGTGAGGACGACTGGCCGTGAAGCTGCTCGTATTCACCGTCTGGCTTCCAGTAGTCTGGAGCCCTAGTCTTCCATTGCCCGGCAAGATCATCTGCAACTGCGGCAGGGGCTGTAGATCGTCGCGGCCTCCAGCGAACCTCGACTTCGCAATTGTACTGTACCTTAAGCTCATGCGAGTACTAGATTGAGGCGCGCACGGCAGGGAGAGTGTGCTCGAGGTAAAAATTGGCCTTCCCGTCAATTCCGTCGAGAGCTGGTGGCATAGTGTTCGAAGGGTCACGGTGTATGCCCACGCTGAGACGACGTTGAACGTCCATCGAGTCGGAATAGATGATAATCCTCGATTTTGTAGGAATAGTAGGTGGCGCTGGTGATGCTGTTGCAGCGGCGGCCTCTGACAATAACTGCGCAGAAGCGGCTAGGCCGTCGAGGATTTCCATTCCCACCGTGAGACACTGGGGTATCGCTGTCAGCTCTCCTTGGCCAATGGAAAACATCTCGCGCATATCAGAAGTTATCGTTTCGTATCCCTCGAGAGTCAGGTGGGCGTCGCCGCTGTTCGTGTTGGCATGGTTTCTCTGCTTTGCTCCTCTCTCCTCATAGAACGGTTTCTTCCACACAACTCCGAGTCCTCCACGGCACGACTAAGGCCCTGGTTGACCGACGTTTTCGAATGATCCGTCTGTAAAAAACAATATCTGCAAGTAATCTTTTGCCTCGCCTTCGTTGTCCACATGTTGTTCGGCCATGATGATGTCCGGTGCAGCCATAGCGCTCTCGGCTCCCTTGACAATTCTTTCTTTTGCTTCTTGGTATGCCTTGGGGAAAAGATTCTCGTTGGGCGCCGGTGCAAAATGGATGATGTTGGCCCTGGATTCTTCTGACCAAGGCTGCTTGGTTTTCTTTTCGGCCTTGCGGCTTCGCTCGTCGTACCCCAACGCCTGTCCCATTGTCCAGCTGATTGGACAAGAGGCAGAGCTAACCGAGTGTGAACCCAGGGAACTACGATATTAAGTAAGACTGGGAAACTGTAGGGCAAGTGATGAGAAAAGTCCAACTTACCGAGTCGATCCTTCTTCATTCGCCGGATTCTTATCGACGATTGACTTGTTACCAGAATGACTGAAGTCGTCTTGCTGTAAAGGAACCTCAAAAACGGTGGTATCGTCCTCCCACGGGCGCAGGGTGCTTTGCGGCACAAACCTTCCAGTCGAAGGGTCCAACTCTAGGACATGGTCGGGATCGTCGTCGTGGCGATAGTAATGGGGCATGAGATAACCATGCCCTCCCCAGACGTCCTCATCCCGGTCCGAGCGGTTAGTCAGCTCAACGACGAGAATTCTGTGGAGCTAGGGAAAATGTTAGTGCCTCCGTTACCCCAGGCTGCCCGCACACATCTCATCAAGAACTATCGTGCGCCGAGGATCAAGCAGAGCGCGCTGAATGATAGGGCAAAGAAGGACTGTCTAGTTCGATCTTACTTGGGGTCGACAAGAGGAAGTTCTGGGGGCAAGGGGAAAGGGGCCAAGATAGAATAGAACTGGACCAGCAGGCAGGGGCTAACGGAACTTACCTCAACCTCGGAAGCGCCGCGGCCCGGGCGTGGAGCTTCCACAACTGTCTTTGCGACAGTGACATTTTCGTCGGCCTCCATGGCAAGATCAAAAAGGACTTTGAGACCTTGGCCCATGTCCAAAAGGAACACACAAACCACCAAGTCCACAGCTTGCGCTGCGAGAGAAGGATCAGGGGCGATGTGGCGAGTGATTGTTGGTGAGGAAGTGGAAGAAGAACAAGGGAGAGATTGTTCAAGGATTGAGCGTTGGAAAGTCCAGGTATTTCGTGGAGGGGTTGGCCCCTGACTCGTAGCTGGTGTGCTTTTGTTGCAGGGGGGCAGCGGTTTTTGCGCGCGCCTTGTGAGACGGAATGTTTTTGGACGCGATGGGGTCATGATGAGATGAGATCTGGGGATGGGCCTCAAAAAGATCAGACGACTTCATACCCCTCTACGGTCTTGGCATTCATGTTATGGGCGACTGTGTAGGATATTGATCGGAGGTCGAAATGTCCTCTCCCTCAGGCTGTTGGTCCTTGGTATATCTCCTAATCCTGCATTAGGCGAAGCAATGGGGGACAAGGATTTTGAGTGAGAGCGTTGGTGGACCCTCATCCTTGAACGAAACTGAAGTTGGCCAGCGACGTCAGGTTCCATGGCCAGCAGACACATTAGACCAAAAATGGGCCTCGCCGCGGGGGTTAAAAGACGACTGACCAAGCAACCAACCATAAAAGATTGTGTGCAAGGAAATTGGCTCGGTGGTGTAGTTGGTAACACGCTCGCATGTCAGTTAACGACCTAGTTGGCTAAAATCCAATTAGCAGAAGTTATTTTAGCCCTCTAGCCCTTTGTCCAAGCAGTCGTCCCCATTTAGCAAAGGTTGCCAGAAACACTTGTCCGCAGCAAGTCTAGAGTAGCTTCACCCTTACCCGGAGTTTCCTTTCCTAGCCCTAGCATATGGGGCGAACGGACTAGATCTCAACGGAGGGAGTCGAGACAACATGGGTTCGAGTCCCGTCCGAGGCAATTCCCTTTCTATCACAATTTTTTTTCTCACCTAACCAGTTTAGGAAAACTCTACTATTTGTTATTTCCCAAACTAGTTAAATATAATTAGTAATTCCTTTCTCTTTTGTAAATTTGTAAATTTGTTCTAGGGGTTATCTGCCCAATCAGAAACCATGTCGCTAGTGCTATCTTCAGACATCGACGCCCGATAAATCTCCTCATCCATTTCCCCGCAGCATTCCTGCCACAACATTCTCAGCTGACTCCTTTTACCCTGCGTCACACCTGCCAGCTCCGGTATAGTAATTGCGCGGAGTCACCGCGAACGGTCGCCATGGGTAATAGCTGGAGTTGCGATCCCCAGCAAGTAGAGGTGCCACTGGAGCCAAACGCTGATATTTCGGGCATATGGGTGAGTTCGGACCAGCCAATGCACCGCTTGATACTGACCAGTCTCTGACTTGAAGGTCCTCATCAATCTGATCGGAACGGCTCACCTGATGGTTCTTGTAACATTTCTCAGCTATATATTTGCTTTCGACCCTGCCAAGGATCCGTACGCCTCGACTCCGACTACCCTTCCTGACGACCACGGACAGGTGGCGAGTTTGAAGCCTCCGTGGCGAGAGAATCCCGTAGACAAACATCTCCTGCCGCTCGTTCGATGGCCGATGAGGAATTATCTGCAGTCCAGAACATCGGACGTTGAACTTATCCAATTCTCAACGAAGGCTTCAACAAGGTAAGCAACATGTCGGCTCTCATGCAATCTGATGCTTGAGCAAAGGATTGATGATCTGGCTAACGACTGGATCCTGCTTCTATCAACTACACTTTAGTCACTGGTCACTCTTTGCGATGTTCAACTCCTGACAGGACTCGCCCTCCAAATCACAATCTATTATCTGCTCCCATCAGGCCTGTCAGCCTATCACTGGAAAATGGCGGTTCTCCTGACGTGGTTTGCCAATGTTAAGCATCTCTCTGGTTTGACCTCGCTTCGAAAGTACCTTTATCTCCATCAAAACGAACGGAACCTGAGAGTGATATTCATGGCCCTCTTCTCGGCGATATTGCTGGTTTCCATGGTGCCGACGGTCTTCTTCAATTGGCACAACTCGTTGGACTCTGCAATAAAACATTATACGACAACCCACCCTGGCGATGGGCGGCCACGACCCGTGGTGGAGCACATCTCCAACTTGGGTGAGGTTGAAGTAACTGCTGCCAATGCCTCTTCGGCTGCCATTTGTTACTTTAACACGCAGCGTGCAGATAACCTATTTCAGCAACAACTTAGTTGGAACTTGTTTGTCAACCACAATCACAGTACAGTACTGGGGCTAGTGTCATATTCTGTTGTTGACAAGCTACGAGATACCACGGCCTTCCAGTCAACGCTTCTTTCAATACTGCTGTTGGTGTTCGGTGCAGCTACTCGCTCTATAAAAATTTTCAAGCCGTCTTCACTCTTGTTTAGGAACATCATCAGGAACCTCTTCAGCCGTTGGACCAAGAGAATCATTATTTCTGGCCATCAACGGCTTCTCCGGGTTCCGTGGGCGCGAAGAGAGATTGAAGATCGCGAACCGCCCGATAAAAGAAAAGCAGCCGTACTGTACTTCTACACCAGACCTATGGTAGCTGCCATGGTGGTTGGCAGACTGTATGCTGACTTTTATAGCTCCATGTTGGCTGAAGTTTACGGGCTAATCATATCAGTCACCTGGGGTGACCTTCGGCTCGCGACCTTGCGGAAGTCGGTCTCGGTCGAAGAGGACGAGATCACTGCCGGGCAGTTTTTGCCCATCTTGTTGTTTATAGGCCCCATTTTGTCATCAGTTGTGACATTGTGGCCAGCGGTTTCCTCGATCGGGAAGTCTCGCGGGCCACAGCAGAGGGCAGCCTCCCCAACTCCGGACACAACCACTCAGAGCCTCGTCGAGCCACCCCCAGAAAGGGAGCAATCAGCCAGACCCTCCACAACAGATCCAGGGATTGAGCTACAAGTCCTGCCAACAAATAACAGACCCACGTCGACACCCCAGTCCAACAGAAACCAAGAGCAAACACCCTCGATTCATGACCTCCTAGAGATGGACTACTCCCAGCAAAAATGGACAGATCCTCTCCTGGTTATGCCCTGCATTCAGATTCTCATGTTGACAGTGTACATCCTTTCCGCGGTGTACAACACCGAAACCAGCGCCTGGCGGGTCTTCCAGGCTATCCTGCTCTGGGTCCTGTGGATACATCCCGGCATCCTTTACTGTTACGTTCTATTGGCTATCGTTGTGGACATGGAAATATTCATCAACCGGATCCCGCGATCTGAATCACTTATTTCACCACAAGTACAAGGCGTATTGGGACGGATTCAGAGGTCCCGATTCGGTTGGTGGCCTCTTATCCTCGTATATCTTGTGATACCATCCATACTCCCCTTCATTCTCTTCCTACTGGTGAACAAACCGTTCCGTTCATCCGGTATAGTTTTATTCCTTTATGCTCTTTTACCTTTGATAATATTTGCATTATACTGTTTTGATGTATTAAGAAAGTCTTGGATGAGTATAAGAATACCCGTTGGCCCAGCTAATAGTCTTCCAAACTCACTACCCTAAGCTCCTAGTTAGCCTACTTGCCGCAATAATCACAATAACCAGACTTTTGCGCAATTCAAACCTGACCACGTACACAGCAAACCAGTAAACGATATCATTCCGTTGAAATAAACATAATTACCAAGGACGTTACCTATAGCACCTCGGTTCGATTCCATTGATCCCATTCTACCTTGAACCAATGCCCTCCTCAATCAATCACATCCCCAAACTCTCCCGAAATACCCTTTCTCCCGCGGGTTACTCCCTCGGAATGCCCGTAGAGCCGTTTTCCGTCTCAGAAGGACACCACAGATTGCAAGAGCCCATGGGCACTGTGATGTAGCCGGATACGGTGCAATACAGCCCACCCTGCCAACAATATGGTGTCATCGGATATACGAGGTTAGCGCAGGGCTCTTGTGAGCAGTTCTTGTCCGTTTGAGGCGCGGGAATAGCGATGACAGGCGCGAGGAGAAGGGCCAGGAGGGTTAGGGCCTGAAGGGAAGATGGGAGGTTGGAGAGCATGATGGTTTCTTTTTTCTTTTCGTTTTTCAAAGATGGAGCGAGCGAGTTGACCGACGTTGTTGGATGGTTGGTTGAGGTGACAAACAGGATGATACAGTATTATGATCAAGGTTAGAAGGGGTGTACAAGGGCATGATATTGGTAACGGACTGTATTTATAGGCATTTGAGCTGCCCGGTATTAACAGCCGGGCTTGTGCATTGCCGGTACTGGTATGCTGCCAATTGGATGTTTCTGTTATCTTCGGGGTCTCTGAGTCTTGGCAACTCAATAACTCAACTGGCCATTTTGTTTTAGCCAAGGTAGCTAGGTGGTAACACTAATCTCCTATCCTAAGGAAAGACGACCCCCCCCCTTCAGCACTGCCTGATAAGCCACTTGAGGTTCAGCGTCGCAGCATTCTCGATCTGGACGGGTACCCCCGAGCCATTGTCTGTCCAGGAACCGGCCTTCATGACGGCGGGTCCACTCGCAAAGCGGGCGTCTGCCTCGAGGTTGTACGTGACAGTGAGATTCCCGACCTCGCCGTTGGCGTCGGCGCAAGGGGAGAAAGGGCTCGTCGGGCCCATCCCAAAGTCTATGGTGGCCGCCCATTTCTTGTACTTGACGGGGCTGTTGGTTGGATTCATGCCAGACCTCGAGCCACCTTGGGTCTGTGTTTTTTTTCCATGTCAGTCATAATACCGTGTTGCCCGAGTATGCTTTGTCAAACTTGAAAGACTCACCCCCTTAGCTAGCCCGTCCCACTTGGCGCTGCCCTTCATGCGCAACTCACTCCCCCGCGCCATCTCGGCATCTACATCCAAGACGCCATCCCACAGCGAGACCTGCCACCCGGGAGCGAGTTTGTCGACGTAGAAGGTGATGGTGCAATCGGCCTTGTTGATGCTCCCAGGTTCGGCCGCGACCTTCAAGTCCGGAATGAGGAGCTGCACATCGTACCCGCGGCTGCAGCTCCATTTGCCCATGTAGTTGTGGCGAATCTTGCCGCCCGATGGGCACCCGGTGCCCGAGAAGGTGGTAGGTGTCAGGATCCGAGGCATCGGCGGGCCTGTGTACGCCCTCTCGTTGGCTCGGCAGAGTGCCTCCAGCTGGTCCGGCGGGATGATGCTCTGAGGGACGCCTTTGGCACCAGTGGCCATGAGGCTCACTCCCCCTAGGATGAGGGAGAGCAGTCGCATTGTGTCTGGTTATGGTCTGGAGTTGGCTGACTTGTGTAGAATGTGGCAGAAAGGGAAATTAGGGAGAGAAGTGCAAAGGAGGGAGGCGTCAAGCATTTTCCTGGTTCTTTCTTGTTCACAGACCCGACGTGCATTGCCGAACGCCTTTATCCGCCCCGGGATTGTTATCAATTATTCAACGTCTGACGACCTAATGCTGGTTGCTACTACCGACGGGTATTTACCCGAGCGGCCTGACCGGCACCAAGCCCCACCACGACACAGAGCATTGCCAAGTCGAAGCGAGCTTGCGGGTGCATCGTGATGATGCCATTCCCAAGGAATAGTCCCTGCGGTCCACGATATCGACACTAGCGCCTGGCGGGTCTTCCTCACTCTCCTGTTTTGGATTTTCTCAATACAGCCCCGCACCTGCTAATGTGTTGTTCTCACTTGTTTGGGCCTTCAGGATTCACTTGATTACGCTTAGCACTCAGCGGAGAGCTAAAGCCCGGATCCGTTGCTGGACTCAAACCAGCACTGGTGGGAAAGAATGTTGTGACCGGACTTGATCTGCAAAGCTGGTTTGTCACTTGTGGGTATACGTGCTTTCATTTTTTTGTCATATCAATGGGTCCGTTGATTCGATACTCTGCCACGAAAGGGGCATTTGATCCATTATGAGAGCTTTTGACTGCTATTATGATTCTTCTTTACGTTGGTGTGGGTGTTATTGCTTTGGTCTAGTAGACTGTCAGTCTGTCCCAGTTTCTCGCACACCTGAACTTGGCTACTTCGAGAACAAGCTGTAATAAAACATATTATTCGTGGAGCTTTCACTATGCTGCTGGCGGCGAATGCAGTTCTCGTCATGATAGATGCTGAACTAGATGGACAAAAAATCCCTATCAGACGAAAGCACGAGGTCAACCCAAAGAGTGCGGGGCTAAAGCTTGAGCCAAGGAAAAGGCAGCGGGACCGCCCATATATACCCAATCATCTGGCAGCAAATTCAACAAAAAGCTCTCAGATTAACAGAAGAAAATGGCTCGTTGGTGTAGTTGGTAGCACGCTTGGTACTAGAAACGGTGTCTGGCCATCATCGTACCTGCGTACGGGTCGGGTTAAGGCTGTGATGGACACTCCTATCGGTCACGAGACGGATAGGAGGAAAAGACAGTTCATCCCCCTAGCTCAAAGGACAAGAGATTGTGTTTATGAGATGCGACCGGCGTATCCCATAACTGCTCTGTGTTTGACGGAGACAAGATAGGCGGGTTCGATTCCCGTCCGAGTTTATTCTTCTACTTTTTTTCTTTCTTTATTTTTCTCTTTTCTTTTTACCAGCTAGTATATACTAATCTCTCCAAATAAGTACCTTCAAGGTCTAATATTTTTTATACCTTGTTTAATAGTATAAGGTTTTACTTGGGTGTTGTAAGATCTTCGTGGTCTAGTTTTGTCAGCCTTATTAGCGGGTCTTGGCGACCCACGATCGGAACGGTCACTTTGTCCGCACCGCGAAAGCTGCGCATTCAGCTTTGGCTTAGCTAGAAAAATCCGCAAGAGTCTTGATTCCACCATTTGACTGTGTTTTGTAATGCTCGAATTGCACTAGGATCAGGGGCTTATCGTAAAGGGCTGTGGCCTTGCGGGATCACAATGACAAGGCGCCATGTGGGGTGAGGTGGAGACGACCAATGGCAAGCCGCCAGGAATCCCGTCTCTTGTCACTTCAGTCTCGTTGCCGTGGCGTGAGTCATGGATCCAGAACAGCTGAGACGGCTGACCCCTTTACCAACCATGCCGACGACTGGTCTCAAGCAGCGGTTCCAATGTTTTGTTCGGCCTTGCTTTTCCTAGGTGGCCAACCGTGTTTGCTTTCACAGGACATATCCAAACCTCCTTTCCAGTCCAGCATCTTTACTCAAATAATCCTTGAACCTCGTTGCGGCGATGCCAGATCAAACGACGAACAATGCCGAAAAGGCCCCAAATCTTTCCTGCTCGGAAACTAACCAGAATGCGGTACGTAATGAGTGACTGGGCCAGTGTCTGGTCGAAAAGGGGCGAGCAAATACCATTGCGTGGGGCTTCTCTGTTACTTTTGGCTGCCAAACTCTCACGTCCCTTCATTTACCTTCTATTGCTCTCGCGGAGTCTTGATTCCGATAAACGGGACACATGTTGACTTTGGATTGGTTATTTCAGGTACCTCAAACATACAGCATACCTGCAGTGGAGCTATCCGATCGACGGGAGGACCAGTACGATAATACATGGCCGGGTTGCGAGCACCAGAATACAGGCTATTATAGCCACGAGGACGATCAGGAGCATATCCTGGAGCTGGACCCAGTCACTGGAAAGTTCGTTCCCCAGAGCGATGTGTGGGGGCGCAAGAAAGCCATGACCGATGGAAGCAACGAGAGCTGCCGCACCGGCAAGAGAAAGAATGAAGACCAAAGAAAAACCCGGTATGGAACGTTCCACTTACACATGGGGCAGATGATGGTGCTGATGTATTCGGGTAATACTAGGGGCACCCACGTATTTTGCTACGGGCACCCACTTGCCAGCCTGACAGCTGCAATGGGTACGGGCAATACAACATAGTCTTTTTACCTGTAAATTCCGTAAAAACATGGGCGCCGCCCATACAAGCCAGGCACATTGCAATGCAAGCCCTCCAACCATTGCGTTTTTTCGGCCAACCAAGCCATGCCGGCCGAACTTAACTGACTTTGTGATTAATCTTTCAACATAATGATATTTTTCTTGGTGTTGTGGCTATATGTGCCTTCGGTTGTTAGTTTCGTACACTAGTTACCCGCTACAATGCCTACCGACGATACTTTAAGTGCCTCCTAGTCTGAGCTGACTGACTGATCCGAAAAAGAAAAAGAAAAACAAGCATGGCTGTAATCTGAGTCTCACTTATAGTATTGACAAAAGCTCAATACCGTACTGAAATATCTTAGTATTGAAGGAAGCCATAGTAGTTATAGCTGGTAGTTCATGCAGGCAGTTAATGGTTGACGTGGCTGTATGTATGGTGCGATACCCGGGAAAACGGTGTTTTGTATGCTTACGGGGCTCTTTTTCAGGCCAACTGCCATGGCACTGTTAGACTTACCAAGTGGGTGCCCGCAGTAAAATACGTGGGTGCCCCTAGTATTACCCATGTATTCTCCCGTGTCTCCGACACATGGTCTCGACGATCATCGAGTGTGCCCATCCACCACAAACCAAGATGTCTGGGCCGACGATCGGCATCCTAACAACAAGATGGAGACCGCCACAAACAAGGAGGAGATGGAGCGTCTTTGCAAAGAAAGGAAGACCTGGTATGACTGAGTGTTCTTGACTGCCACGACAGAGGGACGGCGGGTGGTTTTCTTAGCTGCTGGAATAGAAATAGCCATCTAGCCAAACTAGTTGCAGAATTTCAAAGCTCAGTATTCCACCGGGGCGATTTGTCCAGGCGCCTAATGGGGTACACATTGCTGGAGATCAGGAATTTATCTTATTGGTCTGTGGGACTATATAGACGACTAGGGGTGCCCTTATTCTCTTATTTAGCGGGACGTAAATAGCATCTACCGTCATTTTCTAGTCAATCCCTGAAACGTTCCCTTTTGATGTCTTCTTCGCATTTATGACTTCATCAACGTTACTGCCAGATAGGCAGATATATGTTGATATCTGCCCCCTGGGAACGCCCCTGATATCACGGGGTTGAAGTTTGAATGAAGCCGCATTTATTTTTGAAAGGCTTTATGCTTCTGTGGGGAAAGGAAACAAGCCGAGGATCTTTCGCTTCTCACCGCAAAGACTCAAAACTGGATGACGAAAGGTCCGAAAGATTCCCAGCTCTTGACAATACAACATGTACGGTTGCTTGAAGGCGACATATTCCTGCACCGCCATCGGGTTGATGCCTTTGTGGCTCTGGATGTACGGTGCCCGTCAACCGGCCTACGAGGTCATGCGAGTGTTCCTTCAAAACGGAAATAGCGGCAGCCTGAAGGAAGGATCCAAAGACCGATCACAAGATATCAATCAGGGGAGCGTAGAGTCTTGTGGGCTAGAGGGAGTCGATAAAGAGCTGGAGCCCCGACGCGATAGTCGACGCTGGAAATTGTCAAAGTTCTATAGTCGCTCGAGTTAGAGAACGACGACTCAGTAGAGGTCAGGGTCTCAAATTGTTGTAGGACCAATATTACCAAATCCCGAGCCCTTCAGGAACCGCCTGTCACGGCGAGCCGTGATAACACAAGCGATAGTGCCCTATTGAAACTGCTATATAACACACAATTCTAAGGCTAGCTTGCAGCTTAGAATTTGGCATCCTTTTTAAGGAGGTTTGGCCTAGTGGTGTGGTTCTAGATTCCCAAATCGTCACAATTCTAAGCTAAACGGTGTCGGTTCGAATCCCGGCCTTGGAAAAACTGGTGCAGTTTTTCGGTTGTCCGTATAGTGGGGGGATTCCCTAGAAAACTGGCTTCTGATTCGTCGTTGTGGCCGAAGAAGCGGGGCTCTGTTGAGAGTCGGCTCGGGGCGAGCCTTTTCGAGGAGGGGGAATTGTCACGGCGAGCCGTGATAACACAAGCGATAGTGCCCTATTGAAACTGCTATATAACACACAATTCTAAGGCTAGCTTGCAGCTTAGAATTTGGCATCCTTTTTAAGGAGGTTTGGCCTAGTGGTGTGGTTCTAGATTCCCAAATCGTCACACCGCCCCATGGTAGCAGGCAGATGTCCTTCTCGGCTGTGCGCTCCTTGGACAATATCGGGGTTTTCATGACTAACAAGGCTGTGAAGATGTCCTGTGGAGCTAGTTATGTATTCGTTGCTTGGCAGGGCTGACTGTGGGGAAAGGGGAGCCGTTAGCTTGGTAGGTAGGTTATTATGAATATTGAATACATTCTCCCAAAAAGCACAAAGGGGGCAGGGAAAAGGGACGATATAAGATAAAAGTGAATTAACGCGACAGAGAATTCTTCGCACAAATCCCGGCATTATAGGAGGAAGATAAAGTAAAGAGAAAAAAAGAATGTCACTCTGCGGGGAACTGAACACCAACGTGCTATGTGTGTATTGGGGAAAAAGAGAGCTCTTAAGACTCCAGATTATCTTCCTTGAAAGGATGGTTGTACGGGATTTGACCCGTAACTCACGCTTCCTCATTGATTTTACAATCAAATCAGTGGATCAATCATGCCGCCGAAAATGATTGGGGATAAGGGCCGGATATTTTGTACCCGGTTGATCAGGCGCCTCAGCATCAACAGACATACCTCTTGCACCCGCGTGCGCGGTTAACCACTACGCCAACAACCCATTTCTCTCAAATCCAATAATCCAAAGTTCTTGGAAATTCGTTCATTTCCCTGTCTTAAATAGAGCGGGGTGAGCGCGGGACGAAAGGCTTGGCATGGCCACAAGATTTCGCTCTCTCCTCTTATTTACAGCCGGCTTTATAGATAGCGCGAAATATGACGTCACCTTAGCGCTGGAGGATGAGTCTCTTAGGCATATCCACAAACCAAACAGTCCGAGGTCCACGTGGAGCAAACAAGTGGTAAACTTAGTGTTTATTCAAGTGAGGACTGAGCAACGATTCTTAACACCAAAAGGGGCGAATGTAAATAAAGATAAAGGTCATGCCCTGGCATATTGCGTTAAGGCGACACAGCGGGAGTCTCGGGACAGAGTAACGCGAGATCCAAAGTAGCTCTTACCTTGAAACAAAGTGAACAGATTCACTGACAAAAGCTCCTCACGAAGGGACTAGGGGTAGGCTTGCTCACTTCATCAACCGATATTTCCTCTGGTCTTTGATTTACATGGGCCTCGGAAATGGCATCGCTATATTCTGAAATTGGCGCACACCGCTGGTTCCAGTCCCTTGGTTATTTCCCTTATAACAGCAGCCTCGAAACTGACCACGAATCTGGGAGTAGAGGTCAGATCTTCACGCTTACAAATCAAGCTGAACCTCAACCTTCAATCTCAACCCCCCGCGTCAGTCATCTCTTCTCTGTTCGCCAAGTGGGTCTCGGAAGGAATCTTTTGGATGCAGAGCAGTTTGACTAGCCATTCGGGCGCATGTCTACGTCCTCCACGGTCCTCGGTTCCTGTTTTGCCCCCTCAACCCAGCGACGAACGGACTCTGCCAGTCTGCCTGTCGCCCGCGATCTTGCATCGCAGTCGTTCGTCTCCGGCCGTTTCTCCTTGCTTGGCGACTCGTCTTTTCCGTTCTTCTTCTTTGGGATTTTCGACCCACTGACACTTTCTGTTTTTTTAAATTTGTCGCAAAAAGACAGGCGTCGGCGTGCCATCCTCGCTCTAATGGAGAGCGAAGTCAATCCAGAGCCCCCTGCCCGGCCAGCATCGCCTCCGGCTGAAGACAGCCACGAAAGCGTCACTGTAAGAATTACAATCCCCCTTTTCCATCTGTCATCAAAAGATCCTGCCTCCGTTACTGCAGCAAATGCTGTTCATTCCATTGTCCGAGCCTGCAAAACCTATGAGGAAAGGCGCGCATTTTCCAAGACGAATGAGAGCAGCCCCACCTTGGCCGACGTCGACAAAGAGGCGTCGCAGATTTTGGGACCCATGTTCAGTGGGCCATGACATGCCCCGACACAAGAGATCATTTCAAGCAAAGACAGCCGATTTGTCTCTGCTGTTGGCAAGATTTATTGAAGCCCCCCGGCCCCCGGAGGATATTCAACGTATCTCCTGTCATCAATTCTCTTGAGACCCTAGACAATCATTCCCCGTTACCCGCTACTGGCTATATTGAATGCAACCATGACTCGCTCTAACCTGTTGCTGGGATACAGACACAAGATGCCGTCCACATGGTTAAGGATACCGGTTCGCCTCTCGTCACGGAAGAGGCTGAAGAGCAGCCCGCTCGAAATGAAATTCCTGGCAAATTGGAAGGTTCCGGTGACACCGAAAAGGACGAGGTTGGATGCAAGGATACGGTACTAATCCCGCAGCCGAGAGTACTGGAGGACCGAGTACCAACCAACGAGGAGACTATATCGAGAGCGGATGAGGGTGACAATGGAATTGTCCCCACGCCAGATGATGGCACACCAACCCAAGCGGAGACGACAGCCACCAGCATAGCTAGATATGCACAGCCTTGGTCGAGAGAAACCCGACCCAGTACGATTTATCTCTACGAGACCAACGAGCGGGAGGCCATTGACATTTCCCGTCGTATGGTTTCGGCTCACGACACCGCCAAAGGAGTTCTCCAACTTGTCCTTTTCTGTGATGGGTCTATCGACGGTGATCACCTCCACTCACGTCGCTAGCCTCGACGTGGTGGTGTTGGAATCACTTGGAAAATTCCCTTTCAAGGATCAGGATCAAACATCTCGTCTGGCCGCCGGTCTGTCTGCGTCAAGGAAATGTTTTCTGTCCAGCAAGGTGAGATCACTGGCGTCTCGATGTGCCTGGAAAAGGCAATCGAGCTGTTGAAAGATCATCCAGAGTTTGCCAAATCTCGGATTGTTATCTTTTGCGATTCGTCCAATGCGCTAGATCGTATCAACGTCGGGGTTGGCCTACATCATGATCCTTCGTCGTTCTACCATGCGCACACCCTAGCGCCTGTCCGGTCATGTGTCCATCTTGGATATGAGTTGGAAGACATGGGAGCTGAGGTGGAGCTTCACTGGATTCCCAGGCGCAGCACCGGGCCTGCAGAGATTGCTGATGATTTAGCTGGAGAGTGGCAGGACAAGTCAGAGCACTACTGGAAACACGATTTTGACGGGGACAGGCCCAATGCCTTGGCGGGCAAGCTCAGGGGAGAGATCCTCGCCAGCGTTGAGCCTTTCTTCCCGAACGGGTTCCCGTGGCCGAGCACTGCCCCTGCCGTGGTCCAGCGCAGAGGCACGAGGCAAGATCGAAAGCCACGCCGACAGCAGCTGCGACGACAACGCCAACAACAGAGACAGCAAACAGGAGGTACCATTGTGGGTGGCTAGTAGTGTGTATTTGGGGCAAGTGGGTATCGTAAATAACAGGATAATATAACGGGCTTATAAGGGAAGGATGAAGATGTATGTGGGAACTGTGACAAAAGGATTTCTATAAATACAAAACAGATACGGCAATCCAAGCATCCCCTTTTAGTGTATATTGTATAGGTCCCATGTATCTATAATCCCGCCCGAGTTGAGATTTCATAAGCCGCTACCTCGTATGTTTGAAAAGGAGGGATTTGTTCAATCTTGAGCATTGACGCGTTGCGTTTGTTGATTAGCATGCGAATGTAAAATTTTCTTTGTGCCGGTGTTTTCATTGTCTTTCGTATTCGATATCCTATTTGACAGACTAAACGAACGTTCCGTCGTGAATTTCCCTGTATGCAATTCTTAATGCACGACGGTCTTGAGTGTGGAAAAAAGGAGGCCGCCGGTTGAGCAAATTCAATTACTGCGTCTGAAGTTGTCGTAACGTTACTGTATCGTGTTTATTTTATTTTCGCAACCGTCCGTGGCGGGGTTATGAGGAGGTTTGCTGAATCAACGTACGTGAATTTTGAAAGCAAGAAAAGTTGCTCGGTGGCGTAGGTGGTAACAGCGTGCGTGGGACAGTGAGCGGCAATCTCTCCCCCTTCCATTTTCGGCGGCATGGATGGCCCCTAGCGTAAACACCTAGTTGTTTAACTGGGCGCGCAGATCGCGGGTTCGAATCCCGTCCGAGTCTAAACTTTCTTTCAACTTTCTTTTACGCTTCTTTTTTTTTCTTTTTTGACCCTATGAACAATCTATAGGGGTTCATTCCCCACGGCTATAACCTCTATTTGTCAAATTAACTTTCGTGATATTCAAAACTCCTTTTTCGAGATTGTCTTTCCCTTTTCTTTTTCCCATCCGGCAATTGAAATCACGATCTAGCTGACTGCAATACAGCGCCATTCTGATTTCTTGAAAGGATCTGATCACGGCTGCCCCCTGGTTTAGTTTACTTGTCCAGTTACCTACGAACCGGTTTTCAAATTTAATTGAGAGTCGTGTCGGCAGCTTTAGTGGGTCTTAGACGTATCTCCCATGAAAAGCTTGGCAGGGCTAGCATTTTTGTCATCCGAAAGCTGTCGCCCATACTCTGGGCGACTCACCCGTAGCACTGACTTGATACTCTCTTTCGAATCTTGACTATTAAAAAGCAGAATCCCTTAGTCGTTCTCGCAATGCAGCGTACTTGACAGTCGCAAGTCAAGAGTCGAATTCCACAGCTTATAGGAAGCGGCTGACATTGAGCAAAAACAGTTTAATAACACTTCTCCATAAACTGTCTGCCAAAATTGATTTCTGACTACCAAAACATAACCAATCATCGACTCATATCCAGCACATACCTCCCAACAATCTTATTCTGCTCCATCATCTCAAACACCTTGCCGACCTCGCTCAAGCCCACAATCTTGATAGGAGCATGGATCATACCGCGGCTAAAAAAGTCAATCGCCTCCTGCGTGTCCTCCCGATTCCCGACATAACTCCCCTTAACAGTGATCATCCTAACAACAGTATCAAACACAGGCATGCTCACCCGCGCTCCAGCCGGCAACCCAATACAAACCACAACCCCCTTGCTCCTCACATAGCTGGTAGCCTGCTGGAAGGGCTTCTCCTGCGGCGCAAGCAACAAAACAGCATGCGGTCCCTCGCCGTCAGAGACCCTCTTCACCTCCTCAATGAGATCCTTGGAACTCATAAAGTCAACATAACTCTCTGCGCCCAACTTCTTGCACGCCTCCCCCTTTTCCATACCCCCGTCAATAGCAATGACGTGCATCCCCATGGCCTTGGCATATTGGATCGCAATGCTTCCTAATCCTCCACCAGCCCCGACGATGGCGACAAGCTCCCCCGGCCGCGCACCACTCTCCTTGAGCCCCTTGTAGACCGTCAATCCAGCGCACAAAACAGGCGCAATAGCGGCCAAGTCAGTTCCCTCGGGGATGCGCGCACAATGAAGCGCATTAGCCAGGGCATACTGCTGAAAGGACCCGTCGACGGTATAGCCCGAGAGTTCGGCGTGGGGACAGAGAGGTTCGTCGCCCTTCATGCAGTACGTGCAAACCATGCAGGAGGAATTGAGCCACTTGATTCCGACTGCATCGCCGATATTGACAGAGGTGACGAGGGGACCTTTGGCGACTACGATGCCTGCGCCTTCGTGGCCGCCTACCACGGGGGTCTTGCGTGGCAGGGGCCAGTCGTTTTTGAGGGCGTGCAGGTCTGTGTGGCAGACTCCGGAGTAGCGGATTTGGACTAGGACTTGGTCTGGTGCTGGCTTGGGGACTGGGATCTTTTTGAAGGATACTGTGTGGTGGTTAGTATAGTGTTTGTGAGCAGGAATGCAGGAATGCAGGAATTGTGTGCTGGACTCACGCTCGCCGTCCTTCTCAATCACCTGAGCCCATTGCTCGTGGGGAATCGGGATTGCGCCCATGAGTGATATTCGTCGATGTGCCGCTGTCAATATGAAATTGGGTCACTGGAGAACAGTCGAAAAGTGCTCTTCAACGACGACCAAGAGGATCAAACGACACTGGACAAAGGAAAAAAAGTAGAGAGAGAAGGGGACGGTCCATCGAGATGCCAATTTTTGGAGGTCGCCTTTGCTTGTGATCATTGTCCACGTCATGGTGTGTTAACACGCAGGTCAATTCGTAGCCGGAAAGACGCGCTAATGACATAACCATTGCTTGAGCGCCATAGTACGCATCTGACACAACGGTGTAAAATCCGCTTCTTCTAACCTCGATTCATGACAAAGCTGGTCGGATGATATCGGGAACCATTGCCTATCGAGTATCGCAAGTTCCTTGCAGGTAGGATAAAGGGGTCAAGACTGGTTCAACTTTGGATCGGACTTCAAGGACGAGACAACAAATCAAATGTGAACATCCTTGTGACCAGAGAGATGAATTGAATAAAATACCTAGATAAGGGGAAAGTAAAAGAGATTAACAAGAAAGGACGATAAAACACAAGACCAACTCGAGCCATCTCATTTCAGACGAATCTTGCGCAAAATATGCAAACTCGGACGATTTTGACAGATATCTCGACGAGAACACTTGTTGAAAGTATCCGAATCCCCTCACAACGACCCTCCTTGTACCCACTTTCGGTCAGCTTATTTTCCAATATTTGTCCCAAATGTTTGCAAACCCGTAGATCCTTCAGATTACAATCTCATGTTCCCAACCCCTCTCGCCATCTGCTCCATCGTCACATCTTTCGTAACCCCAGCGGCAGGCTGATGGTGCAGCCCACCAACCACCCCGCCACACTCTGGGCATCGCGCCTGCTCCATGGGCATCCCACATTCGCCCACCGTGAAAGGATGTCCATTCTCACACGTATACCAATGTCCAGTCCCGCGAAACTCCATCGACATTGCGGCGTATACTGCGCGCAACTCAGCAGCCGTCACAGCCTCATAGAAAGTTCCTCCGTTGAGAAACTTCTCGATGGTCTCAATTTCCGCGGCAAGCGTCGACGGCGGGGCGACAGTCGAGGGATAACGTTTGGCGATAGCACGTGCTGCTTCAATATGTACCAAGCCCTTCTCTTTCGCCTCAGTCCCGTCTTTCGGTTTGTTCGCCGTTGCAGCTAACCCAGCGGCCCGGGCCGCTTGTGCTTCTGCTGTTGCTGAAGCAATGGCGAATCCACAGAATCGGGCAGCGAACAAATGACCCTGGGCCTGTTCTTTGGGGTACTTTGCCTCCTCTGCACGTGAGATGACCCTCTCGCACTCCCGCAGATAGAGCCCAAAGTCGATGCGACCGCCAAAAACCTTATCCCAACCACCCTTCTGTTCCTCGGTTTCCCCTGAAACCACAGGCAACGCCACCTTCCTTCCGGCCATCAATCGCCCAAAGTCCTCAAACACCATGATGTCACATTTTAAGCTCAAGATCGTGGCAAGCAAGTGCCCCTTGACTTGAGCCACGGACTCGTCGTACAAGAACTCGTTTGCCTCGTCTCCAACATTCGACCCTCTTCCCGCAGTCGACGGAGACAGAGTCGTTTGGTTGTCTGCGGTCTCTGCAGATTTCGGGGCAGTCAACGCCATCCGGCGAAGACGATTCGCATGCTGTACGAACACGGCAACTCGCTGAAAGGGCTGCTCTTCTTTGCGAACCACGCCAGCGAAGCTGTTGACCATATTCCAGAGCCTGATAGCTTGGGCGTAGCGCAATGACTTGCCTTTCGCCGGCCTGCCTCCACTGTTGCCATCTCTTCCCTGGACAAGCATCTGGAGATATTCAATCTGACTGATTCTTGAAGCCTTGGAACTAGCCCGGTGAGACCCATCTGTTGTGTGATGATATGCTGCCACAGAAGTAACGGCTGGGGTGTCAAGATTGGCAAGTCGCTCCTGCTCGCAAACCACCTGTTCCGCCAGGGTCAAATATCTCTCGTTCGACCACGAGACGAACTTCTTGGTGGCCTCGTCCAGCATAGCCCGGCGAACGATCCTGCCATACCGCGCAATATTCCTGAGAGATCCGCGGCAGGTCGGACAAACTCGCACTGCTTCGGTGCTACCCATGGAGAATGGTTCTGACGCTTTATTCATCCCAACCGGAAGCCCATTCTCATCGACCATGTAATGACTGCCCATATCCATCTGACCGTCCATGGAGGTGACGGTCAGAAAGTGCCTGCAATCTGGAAAGATGCACGGCTCAAGGTCCAGGTCAATGTCGCGGTACTCCTTCATTTCAAGAAAGTCGACGCAGGCTGATTTTATGCTCTCTGAGGAACATTCCTGACAGTAATCAGGCGGTGGGCAACGTTCGCCGCAGACCGACGGACACTGATGTCCACACTCAAGCATCTCCCCACAACGAAGTGAGCAAGGAACCCAGTTACAAGGCGCTGCACATGGCATTGTACACCCACCATGTGGGCATCTTGAATGGCAAGTCCCTTCCGCACAGGGTGCGCAAGGCTCATGACACTGCTTGCTACACTTTGAGTGCCCGCACCGAACTTCGCATGGCTTCTTGCAAGGAGGGCAAGCTTTTCCATTCGCGCTGTGGCACCCTTCTTCACAAGTGTGCCGGCAATATTTGTAATCCCTTCCGCACTTTGCGGAACACATGGGATGATCTGTCGGAACAAGTACAGCTCCGTCCTTGTCTTTCTTCCTTGGACGACATTGGTAGCAGAGCCTGACACAGGTGTGGCCACAGGTAGACCAGGTCTGTCCGCAACGAGCCGTACACCGGTATGGTCCGTTACCAACATCAACATGGCACTGGACCTGAGCTTTGTGGCTGCAGCCGGGGATAGTTCGGTCAACATGCACTTGGCATTTGACAGCCTCCAGATCCCTCGTCTCCCAGCACCGAGCCGATGTGATTTTGTGACCACAGGGAAGGGTGATGTTCAATCCGGTTAAGCGCACAGCACATTTCTCGGGACAGTCATCGCCACATCGGAGGGGACAGGGATGGTGGCAACTGCCACCAGACATAGGTCGAGGACAGTCCTCCAGACACTTGACAGCATCATGAAGTTGCTGTGAGTGGCACATTCCGGTACAGGCATGCCCGCAGAGTAGTCTTTGATCGCAAGCAAGATCGCATCCACTCTCGGGCGAATGGAGTCCGAAGTGGTCCGGATCAGACACAGAAATTGGTGTGGATGGGTGACGAGGACATTGGAGCTCAAATGCCGTACCA